CCCTTAAACCATATTTGAATTGAATACATGGTAAATAAAGTTCACTGGTCAGATACAGATTTCCGCCGCTAGCTTCATGTCGCACTTGAGCAAGCATTAGCAAATTGCCTTTTAATAACAATAATTATTTGAGTAACTGGTTTTTACTTTCATATATATAAATATGTACATGATTTCAATGATTGCATGTATAGGTAACTGGAGGTGCTCACGGACTTGGGCGTGCTATGTCCCTTGAACTGGCTAAAATGGGTTGTCACATGGCCATAGTTGATATTGATTTACAAGGCGCCGAAGAAACTGTTAAACAAATCAGTGAGACTTTTACAGTGAAAGCCAAGGCGTATAAGGTAGGTTAAAATAAATGTGTTAGTTTAAATATTAATTTTACGACCGACCCAAGGTGAATGTCGCCAATTACACCGAGCTTAATAATCTGAAATCGAATATCGTCAACGATCTTGGACCAGTTACGATTCTTGTTAACAATGCAGGTATTCTTTTGCTAAATAATTCTGTGGAGCCTGATCCAAACGATGTTCAGCGTATGATTGATGTAAACTTAACATCCCATTTTTGGGTAAGCCTATATTTACGAAGCAACATGTAGCATATGTCATGCATTAACTTGTTTTTAAATTCCCCACTAGACTAAAAGTGTATTTTTACCCACCATGAAACTACTGCGCAAAGGGCACATTGTCACTATAAGCTCTCTTAGTAGTAAGTTTAAATTGTCTGTGTATTCAGGGAAACATATTATTACTTTTTTATTCATTACAGGTATCTTTTCTCTACCCTACAATAGCCCTTATAGTGCCTCTAAGTCTGGGGTCAGCGGGCATATGAAGGCACTTCGCTTGGAGTTAGCTTTTGAAAGGCAGCACAATATTCATGTCTGCACGGTAATGCCTTCGTTCCTCCAGACCAATGATGAGATCACAGAGATTGCGAAAAATGTACGCTTTAATGATTTTTATCCACTAATCAGTGGACCTGCCGCCGCCCGTCGCATTGTCCAAGGGATGCTTCGTGGCGAGCGCGAAATAATTCTCCCAGGGATTGCTTCTATAATGTATCGTGCTCTAGCGTAAGTTTATATTCTGTAGCATGTTATATTTATACATACATTTTAATCTTATCTTTCGCAGTCTTTTACCGGTCAGCTGGCAGGATAATTTATTTCTATTGATTGCTAATAAACAAATTCACCAGTTTTATAAACTGCGAATCTGAACGCATCAAAAACATAATGTTTGGTGGAAGCTTACTTTCGTTCTTAAGTAATGAAAAAAAGATATTTGGATATTTCGATATTTCGGTTTTAAATTTTATGAACTTATTGTTATTTGCCAGCCCACTGTAATTTGGGGTATACTTACAAACAATCAAATATTTGATTAATAAACTTTATAGCTTGCTGTTTAATTGTAAGAATAAGTAAAAGTAAAATTATGTTTTCGCTGCCACTCATCTGTAATGTTATGAAGCCAAAGCTATTTTCTTTTCGTACAGCCACATTTATACCTCTCTTTCCATTGTTATACGAGTATACATCCGCTTTGCATTTTGTGTCTTTATGCTAGCAGAAATAATGATACAGATTAAGAACAAGTAAGAACACTCTACTCTGAAGTATCCGACTAGGAGATACCCTGATTCCGCGCCGATCTACCTTTACAACATTCTATATTTCTTCTATTCAAATATCCTATATAGACATAGGTCAAGGTTTGGCTCTATGTGTATGGTTTGGCCTCTACATCAAATTGGCTTCGAAGTCTCTACATAAGAAATTAATGAATACTTGTTTCAGCGTCATCGTAAATCTGGCAACATTATTCTTGATAAAAATTGATGTGAAAATGGTACCCTCAAATATCCTAAATAGGCGTGGGTCATAATTTCTCTAATAATTTCGCCCGCAACAGTGATACATTTTGTTACCGTCTGAACGCTATCAAACTCAATTTTAAAGATCTCTAAGAGAATTTAGTTTATACGTACCACGGGCAATGCCGCGACATACCCGCTAGTGTATGTATATAATTATTTATGTTTATAATCATCGACGTGACTCACTGAACGCCTCATTGGCAGGCTGATTGAAACTCAAATGTGGTGGTGTCAGCGCGTCAGTTTGTGTGTCTTTGTCTTTAACGCGCACTTTTTAATTTAAAAGGGCTTCGAACAAACAAGGGACTTACGTTCCTGATTATCGACCGATCCCCCACTGGTAGACATTTGAATATAATTTTTTGACTAAGTCGTAAATATTTAGCTGTTGATGCGTGGGAAGTTTGTAACCCTTTGCGCCTAGGAGCAAGCTGTGCCGACTTATCTGTTAATATTCAAAGCTAGAAACAACCATAAAGTATGTAATTCTGTGCATTTTGATTCAATGATGCATCCTCTTTTGCAAAAGATTTTTTTTTAGGCAAAACTGTGGTTGCTAAAAGAAACCAAATCTATTATTTTCTTAACACATAAATAACATGTGCACCTAATTTTATGTGCACACATTGCGTTCAGTATTGAGTTTTCTACTAACGTACGGGTAGCAAAAAGGCATCGCTTATAAAATAACATTAATTAACTTAACTGCTTCAGTTTAAGGGCAGCATGGTTGGTACAATGATCATAAAACGAAAATAATAAAATTGTTTTGGGGGCGTGTATGTATCGTTTGGCTGCTCCTAATATCGTTTTTATTCTGTCAGACCAAAAAATGTTTATAAATACAGTCAATTTGCTGTCAACTTTTGAACTAGTCACACATGTTCTAGCTCGAGTAGTTGTAAAAATGTCAAGAAGTCAAAGTCCTAGTATATTATATTATGTGCAAGCAGGACAGAGTGACAGAATGACACTTTTTCAGCGCTAACAAAAATTTTTTAAAATGGAAAATATAATTGTGCACAAACAAATCACGGACAAATAAAGCAACTATAGCTGCGACCATGACATGCATGTCAGCGCAATCATTTGACATTTTGACAGCTATATCCCTGTGTGTATTCGTGTAAGGGTCTGGTTAAGTTCAAGTCGTAGGTCAGATTACAACTATAATTTCGCAGACATTTATTTCGATATGAAGAGAGTTCAAGAAGTTGGAGTTCTAGTTCTAAGGGATGACTGTGTTGGTGATGCGTCAAGTAGGCGGCAAAAAAAAATAAATTATGTTTAACGATAAACATGCTAGACGAGTCGACTGTGTGTGTTTAGGTGTTGATATCTTTAATATGAGAGAAAGGCCGACAGAGCACTCTTACTTATTATTTATACAATTGTACATATGTAAATTAAATTTATAATTATTTATTATCTGTGCAAAGGGTATCTTTAGTCGAGTTCTTTTGACAAAAACCATTATTCAAACGTGGGCACACTTTATTGTATACCCTACCCATACTTGAACAAAGAGAGAATATAACGGTGGTTAAGCAGCAAATGTTAAAATTAATAAATTTACACTTAAGCTTTAGTTTTAATATAAATTTAAATAGGAAATAAAATAACACACAATACCCATTAAAAATTCTTGATCTGCTTACGATGCACATTTGCCTAAATTCTAAATTTGGTGGCTTTATTTCATATATTCTGCGAGTTCTGATAAAAAAATCGGGAACAGACAGACCAATATGCCTTCAGTGAAATGCATACTTATGCTAATTAATCATATACATATGTATATATTTTTGAAATCAAAGATTTATTTTTTTCTGTCTGATATACACATATACACAACGGTGTTATACCCGTTACAGGTTAAACGAATAACTGCAACAAATAGTTAAAATAAATAATTGGAATTTAATATTTTTCAGCGGAAATAGTTAGGTTTTTTCTCAATAAACGCAAACATCATCGCGCGTCATTGTCTAAAAGAAGAAACAGTTCTTATTGGGTTGCCAAACATGAAATACTCTTCACATATCACCAATATTAGATTTATTTCGAAACTTATACATTTACAGTTGTTTCTATGATGAGGCTATGATGCCAAGATCTATCTTATATGTTAATAGAAGAATTGTTAAGTTTTATTAAGATGGTTATAAAACTGAAACAGACAGACGGACATGGGTGTACTAGCTGAGATCGTAGGATTGATTAAAAATACATACACTTTATAGGATTGGCAATGTCGTTTTCAACCCTCTGCAAGGGTATAAAAATAAAATAATATCATTAGTGTTCACCTTAGCCCCATCTTTCGCACAAGAAGTTCAAACTGCTGGTTCGCAGCGACGTCAAAATGTCCACTAATTTTAACAATGATGTAAGTTGTCGCACTTTGGGGGAAACAGAACAAGCAAGTCCGTGGAAATGCCTACAGTTTGGTTTTGGGCATGTGCCAATATTTTTTTCGCGAACTCTGGTCTGTCGAGCGTATAGCATTGGTATCCCATGAGCATGCATATAAATGACAAATATTCAAGTGGTTATATGTTGAGTGTTAAGCGTTTCTGAATGGACTTAATGCGAACTAGTGGGGCAAACAGCTGTTATTGGCCGCAGAGCGTGCGCCAAAATGCGTTGTTTGCCAAAACATAAATTTCAATTAAATAGAATGGGTTGTACTAATACAAGTTCACGTGTATGTATTGACAGATTTGGATATGCAGAGGCTATACTAGCACTGTTAGATATCGGAACTACCTAGCCCACAGTCACGTTGCCAGATTTTATAATAATAAAAGTCTATTGAATGAATAGAAAATTGGTTAGCTTAAAGATTCTTAATAGAATAAAAAATGAAACAAATTGCAGATTGCAAAAATAGTGCGGAAAATTAATTTTTGTATCGCAAATTAAAAACACATTGTCAGGCCGTTCGCTTAGCTGGATAAAGAACTAAAAATAGCAAAAGAAAAAAAAGTATCGTAAAGTTATGCATATGTATGCATACACTTGCAGCAGCAGTTGCATCTGAAGTGAAGAGGAGAAGCCGCATGCACTTGAGGCCAGGGACAGGCCAAAGTGATCAGCATCAACACTCTTTCCGATTGCCATGAGTCTGTGTCTGTGTCTGTGCATTTTTGCCTCATGCCGCAGATGAAATAGTTGTTTGGAAATGAGTTGCCTTAATAAATTTAGCTCATAGTCTCACTGTATTTTTTATGCTCTGTCGGTGCCTGGAGAGACAAAATATTATGTAGCAATAAAAAATAGTGCTAAAGCATTCGACAAGCGCTCACCGTCTATCTGCTGCACTCCGGCGGGGGCGAGGAATTGGAACCTAAAACAGACTGGCACCATGTGTGCCTGGGCCAAGACCGTTGCAGTGGTTCGCTGAAAAAAGGTCCCCGGTCACGCGCTCAGTTGGAAATGTAAATATAAATGCACACAGTTTAGAGTAATCCTCTACATTACTTGTTGTTTTTCGTTAGTAATGAATATTTACGTTTTATGCACATATGCAACAATCCAGCAAATTTCCTATCCGCTCAGAACTATACGACGCACAATTTCTTTATACTCGTGTGCTGATCAGGGAGCATCACGCCGGGAATAAAGGAAAGAAGAGGAAATAACGAAAAGTATTGCAGCAGAAGCAGACGCACATGTTCTTATAAAGGAGAAAATCCAAGAGTATTATAAATACAACTACCACCGATCATTACAGGGTGTCGCAGCGGCAGAGTCGGGAGCAGAGCCCCAGCTCAGGACCTATGTTTCGTTCCGGGCATTTAAATATCGTGCAGCCACTGAACTGCGGGTTATTGTCAGACACAACGCGGTGGCGTGAACATCACAAGAAATACAAATCAGTACAATATTATTGAAATAGAACACTTTAGCGTTTGTGTGCGTGCGTGCGTTTGTGTTGCTGTGTTTCGGGATTTCCCATGTTCGTCGTCGAATTTGGCAATTGGCCGAGCCATTGAGACAGACAGTTTTTTCATGAAAAGTGTGGCGTTTCGTAAATGTGCGTAATTTGCCGGTAGTGCTAATGTGACAGCGACTGAACCTGTTGATACATCTATATACATTTAAAATTCAAATGTCTTCCACAATGAAGTCACAGCAGCTTCCTCTGACCATTCCTACCCACTGCGCAGATATGTTCGGTAAAAATAAAGCGACGTTAAATAAGACATTCAATGAAAACGGTTGCTACGATGCTTTTATGTCGCCACCATTAAGTGCTAGTATCAGAAATGAACAAGATGTCTTTCAGGCGCCAAAAGTAAATTTCTCTGGGAGCGTAAACAATACCAATTTTACATGCGCCGAATTGCAGTTTCCGGACTTCTCGCACCCTTCCTTCACCAGCGACACGCCTAATTCGGCTTTTAGTGACTACAATAACTACACAGGGCCTGAACAGGATAGGGATGATATTGTGTGTGCTTCCTCAGATCAAAGAGGCATGCCCTATCAGCAGGGTCAATACACCCAGCTAAACCGTGAAGACGTCTTTCGCTTTGAGCCGGAGGATATTGCTCGACTAACAAGCGACAGCGGGAGCGCATATGCCGAGTTCGATGGGTTAATGCAGGTGCCACAAACCCCATATACACCTTGCAGTGCGCAAATCACTCAATTAGGGGTCCTGCCAACACAGGTGGAGCCAGCTGAATCACTTAATCAGGATACAGATTATTTTAACTATGACGAAGTTAATTGCCAGTCAAAAAATCAATCACCGTGCTCTTCGCCACATTTAGATGCCTGGTTGAACTTCAACATCTGTGAATTATCTTCGTCAGAGGCAGCTCAAGAATCGTCACCAAAATTATGCAACATTTACGAGCAACAGCTGTCGCAAGTGAAAGTAGAGCAAACGCAAAAGAAGTTGCCGTCAATGAACTCAACTTTCGGTACACCAAAGTGCACACCCATGTGCAATAATTATGACGACTACTCCAATCTGTACAACAGTGCGGAGACAATACAAAGTGTTATATATGACTATTCAAATGAATTTGCGACCGACAATTTTCAAAATAATATTGCACAAAATAATATTGAGAAACCAAACCGTGAACACAAAGTTATTTGGACAATTGATGAACTGGATGAACTGAACGCCGCGCTAATCCTTGACGAGCAGCAGCCACAACATCAGTTGAGCTCAGCATCAGTAGTTGACAGGGCTAATTTTTCAGGAGAACATTTTCCAGTTTCAAGAGTTGAAACGTCAAACGCTAATGACCAACTGCTAGCCGCTGGCGGCAGCGATGACGACGACGATGACAAGGAGGAGGATGACATAGACGAGGTGTTTGCCACGCCAGCCGAGAGCGAAAGGAGGCTCAACTACTCAGACTTAGTGGACGTTGAGACTGAGCAGCCCGTTTCGCTTATCTGCCGCTGGACTGCTTGCAATATGGAGTTCGGCCACCAGCATGTTTTTGTGGAGCACATCGAAAAGTGTCACGTCGATGTCCGCAAGGGAGAAGACTTCTCTTGTTTCTGGTTGAACTGCCCAAGACGGTACAAGCCGTTCAATGCGCGCTACAAGCTCCTCATACACATGCGAGTGCATAGCGGTGAGAAGCCCAATAAGTGTCCGGTGAGTTGACAATTTGAAATTGGCTCTGTTAAATACAGAATACTCGATTTCTTTCAATACAATTATTGAGAGTTGCTTTTTGCTGAAAAACTGTTGTCTCGTTTGTAGACTAATTATATAAATATTGTTGTTTGCATTAATAGACTGTCAATGACAAAAAAAAAAAAAAAAAACAAATCTAGTTTGACAGTATGCCATAGGTGCGTTATATTTTTCCTAAGCGAGTTTTTATTTATCACAGAGTCAGTATAAACATCGTTAAGCAAGCAAGGCATCTGACACAGATGCTGCGTGCCCTTTTTAAGCCACTTGAAATAGAACCGTCAATGACAATCATAACATTGCTGCATGTTTGGTTGTCTGCGATTCTCTTTCAAATGGATATTTTGTTGAACTCTTGACTAAAAAAGATTCTGTGCCGGGACTATCAACATCCAACACACCAACACACAGTGGCTGGATGCAAGCCAATTAGAATAGATATGCCAAACATTTCAGTTTTTGTCATACCTATGCCCCCTGAGTTGCGAAAATTTGCTTTCTAGCAGCAGGGTGCTCTGTCTGATATATGCGTGCCAAGAGTTCGCAATTTCCTGCGCCTAGTAATAGATGCATTCAATAATGCAATTTTATCACTTTTCATTACAGTTTCCGGGATGCAATAAAGCATTTTCACGTTTGGAAAATTTGAAAATTCATCAACGCTCGCACACAGGCGAGCGGCCTTATGGCTGTCAATATAAAGGTTGCCTCAAAGCGTTCAGCAATAGCTCGGATCGTGCGAAACATCAAAGAACACACTACGATACGGTAAGTATTCGACTCTCTGGATGTTTTTGTATGTTTATATGGCGGTGTGTGCGTATGCTGTACAAGCAATTTGCTCCTCGTGTCAAAGGAAATTGAAGAGCCCGTGGCATTGGTCGCCTAGCCGTCGCAGCTCAATTTAAACGCAGCTTAAAGTTTAAGTCATGCTGCAGTGTTTAAGCTTACGCACGCGGGAAAATATAGCGGCACGACAACTAAGAGTTCTGTTTTCCAAAAATGTGAGTTGCTTCTCAGGGGAAGCTGCTGCGACTGTCGCCGCTGCTGTTGCCTCCATGACATGTGCACATTTGCCTGATTGATTTATAGTTTTTACGTGTATTTGTGTTGTGCCCAACGAAAATAGCAGCGTCAGTAGCAATAGGCCCAGTATTCACGACAAAGAAATATAACGTCATAGCCAACATGAGAGGCACGGCAAAGCTCACTGACGTTTCAAATGCCGGCAGAGAAATTGAATAAACTAAACGTGTTACACCAAGGCTTAAGCTGCTTTCATGTTCCATGCAATGAGTGGCAGCCAATCTGACCCACACAATTTTGATCGCGAGAAACATGTTTGTATGCTTTTGGTTGCCCTTATTCCTGCTCTGTGGCAACACTCTTGACACTGCCAGAATAAACAACATTGCGATTTTGAAGCATTTCACATAGAAAATATATCAATTGGCTAGTTGCTTCGCTCGGTGGGTGCTGAAGGGTTAGCATTTGGTTCCTTTTTAACACAATTGCAAAATTAATTGATTGATGATTAGTTGGATTTGAAAAAAAATAATATGACGTTCCTGTAACTATGTTCTCTACTCAACAGAAGCCATATGCTTGTCAGCTGCCGGGTTGCACCAAGCGTTACACGGACCCCTCAAGCCTTCGCAAGCATGTAAAGAATCACGGACTAATGCGCCGCAAATCTGCCAGTGGATCGCTTACTCCATCTAGCAAAAAGGCGGCCAAGACACGCCGTAACTCGGAATCGGCTGTATCCTTGAGGGAACCGTTGGGTTCAGGTGAGCAACGTCCGCAGCGCAGCAGTAGCTGCAGTGAGGCATCGCATCTGTTGCAAAATGACGTACACAATAAGGACATACTTATACAAAGGTTAACGGAAATAGTATCAACTCCGCCTACCGAAAACCGCAACCCCTGCAGTAATGACAATGTTGCATCTAATAACAATTCAATCAAATTTAATGAGTTGTCAAATTGCATTGTCATTGCTGAGCAAAGCCAATCTGGGACGACACCAACCACAGTAGCTGGCCGTGAAAGCCAGGCAAATAGATACAATACCGCAGTTGAAACTGCAGCAGCGACAACAAATGACGGCTTCAGCTATTATGGTAGCAAAGGTATAGAAGGCGAAAGTGTAAACATATACGCTGCGATGGAAAGGAATACAATGAGCACTTGCAGCATTAACAGCAATAATTACATAGCCAACAACTATGACTGCTGCAACAACGAAAATATTAATAAATTTAACGATATTGAACAATTGCTAAGTTCTACAACGGTATCTAGCGAACTGCAAAATGTTGGGACTGTTTTTAATGCAGGTGCAAATAAATGTCAATTGAATGAATTCGTATCATTTGAATATGTGCGAAAGTACCTAACGGATGCGTTTGAGCCCAGTGCAAAGAGGCCGAAGAGCCCAGTTACAAATTTTCAAGAGAATATTCCGATTCTAAATGATTTTGAAAATTATGATATTCAGTTTATTTGAGTATTTTATCTTTAAGTGAGATTGTTTGTCAAATATTTATATTTTACCCGAAGATCTCAGCCGTATTAAGTAAGTGGTCAAGTTTGTCAATTGTGGAAAACAATGTGTTACCCTTTTGTATTTGTATATAGACAATTATTTTTTTTAGTTTTAGGAACTGTAAGCTGAATCGTGTTTATGTACGCTTGATATGCTTGTATATGTTTATGTAAAGCTAGTCGAGTTGACGAACAATAAGATTTGGCCTAAGTTAGGCCAAAGAAATAAGGACTTGCATAAAGTTCTTAAATTTTACTTACTTCAGTGATTAAAAAGTCTTCCCAACGAAAATTAGCATTAAAATAATGAATATATTTCTAAGATATATACAAAGATTGTACTTCTTAGTTCTCAATAGAATTAAAAAAACACACTTTTATTTTACAAAAATTTGCAAGTAAATATATATAGAAATCAAATTTACATAGTAATACGCCATAAATTACTGCAATGAAGCTCCCAAAAAATTATGGAATCTAAATAAATAATTTGCTCTGAAAGAAATTATCTAAATGTGTAGCACTTCGCATAAAATGCCAGTGCTTTCTTTTATTTTGCAAAAAAAAGGAAAGGCTGCAATATAGTTTGTCCGCCTTACTCTCACTCCGTTCGTCTGTACACCTGTATGAACACGTATGGGGGAAAAGAAAAAAAGCAGCACAGAATCACAATGCATTTAGTGATCAGTTTGCGTCGTATATACTTGTACACATACACATGTGTGTTTTTGGAAGTTTGGAGTTGGATGCAGTCAAGTCGAGCACAGTTAGTAGATCACTCTTACTAGTTCACTAATTGCTTTGCTTTGGTATTGGCACCGACAGCGTGTAGGTAATGGGTAAGTATTTCAATAACAAAGGTAGAAAATATTGTTTCTACACTACATCCTGTTAAAAAGCTACGCTTCCTGTTCTGTTCAGAGCTTTAATATTAATAGCCATTTATGCTTATGAAAGAGAATAAAGCCATGCTCCAAAATTGCTTTCGCCTGCACCCACATTCATGCCTTCTGACGCTCCCGCTTAACTCCATACTGCTACTCTGTTTTCGTTGTACGACAATAATACTAAATATGCTTAGGGACGTTTTGGGGGGAATAATGAGCCTCACCATGCATTTAAAAGCGTTCCGAGTGTTTCAGTTAATTTGCAGACCGAGACTGGTCTTCATTACCAACCACTCACACATGGAAACACACGTCCACACACAAACACACACTGCAGAACAAACAACAAAATGTAAAGCAATTAAAAGCAGTGCTGGACAACATGCAGCGAAAAACGAAAATATCCATAAAACATGGACAGCAGCCCAAATTTGACCTTTCGCGTTTCATATAACGGACTGCCTGCTGCGGCTACAAGTGGCCCACGATTTTGTTTTTGAGGTTAAAGCGCAAAAATTGGAAGCAAGTGTGCATCATAATACTCCATGGGGTTAAATATTTACGAACACGCACTATCCCGTTTGGGACTCTCAATGCATACGCTTCAGGTAATATATTTTTATGAAGATGACACTGCGCTGCGCTAAATGCTTCCAACTGCTAACCAACCCTTAAAACAAATATTAGTTTATCATCGAATTTTTAATATAGAACATTTATGTACATATAACATGTGTAATGTAAAAAAAAAATATGGCAATAATTGTTGAATATGTGTAAAAATATTAAATGTAAAAATGTGTATATTTATTCTAATGTTTTTTTTTTTTTAATTAAAAAGAGGAGAGATCGGATTTCTTCGCCATGCCGAAGATTAAATACTCTCTCAAAACTAATCAGCTAGCTTCATAGAATCGGGCAGACGGACATGTAATTACAGCTCCAAATGCTTTTAACTGAGTTAAATATCTCTTTCAGTGTGTTACAGTTTTAGTGGCGAAATTAAAATACCCTCTAGAATGATATAAAGAGGTAGTGCATGGTTGGATAGCTGGACTCAGCTAAAATGTGGCGAAATTAAAATACCCTCTAGAATGATATAAAGAGGTAGTGCATGGTTGGGTAGCTGGACTCAGCTAAAATGTGAGTACATTTCATCCCTCCCACGGAGGTCACAAACAAGAGCGCGTCGCTTAGTTTTTCATATATATGGCTCCTCGTCGTTCCCTGAGAAAGGGTTGGCCACCGGCCGCCCAGCAAAACTGACATCAGGCCAGTATCCGGATTTTGTCTGCGTTTGGCGCTTTCGTTAGCAATTATGCAAATAGGGAGATTGCCGCACGATGATATGTTGAAATTCCATGCATTTACAATTTTCTAATCAATGAATTTTAATTTATGTCTCTGCTCCCAGTTGTTGTACATTTTCGAATGCTTCTCGCGCATAGTTGCAAATTTTTGTAAATGGTTAAGTTTTTAATGTGTAACAGTCATTTGACTTTTTACAGAGACATCCAATGGCTGAAGGATATATTTTTCGATTAAGAACTGTTGTTTCAATAATAAATCTCAACAGAAAATGTACCTTAAAATGAGTTTCTGCTTTGGTGTCTGTTTATGAAAATTATTATAGATTTGTATATACCTAGAACCGGCGAGGATGGGAGCACTAGGACAACGAAAAACACGTATCGGATCTGTAATTAAGTTTACGTTGACATCGCGATTTTTCAGTTGTGTTAAAATTCATAAAATTTCCAGCATCATCAATATTCATCGCGAATCCAAACAATTTAACAATATTGGCGTCCTCTTTTAATTTGTCTAGCAGTTGCGTCACGTTTTAATTCTTAATTAAATAAATGATTTCCATTGACGACATTAAATATTGGCACAAGGGAAATATTCAAATAATATCCGTATCCGCCAACATTTTATTTTCCGTCATACAGTAAATTTCTTGTGCATCGCAAAAGTTATGGAAATCGGCAATAGTACTTATATATTCAAGCACATATGTATATTCCGGCACTTAAGTAAAGTTACTATTTTTTTTTTGCATACATCAGACTTGTAGAACAAAAAGTTGTTCCTTGAGCGTAATTAGAAGGCTTACTGGACTGAATTGTTGCTAGCATCGTGCTTAAAATGCTCTTTTGGCGTTAAATTTATGACAACCGCACATGTTCGTTGCTGTCGCACTCAAAGGCAACAACAGACGCATTAACTATAGCAACAGCAGCCAAAACTAAACCAACGGCGGCATAAGTGGTAACAAAGCCACCCACTCCTTAGAAACTTTCCAAGAATGTGTGGCCTCTTTTAGGAAGCAGCTGCGTCATTAAAAGATTTTCAAAATTATTGCACTCTACCTGCCTTGGCGGTAGCCACATCTTTTCGATACCCGGGCGTAAGGTGCATACGAGACAACTTCCCTGGTAGGCACTTATACGGCGAGTAAAACACATCCTTAATTTGGGTTTGTCTCTACCCCATCACTAGGCGGAATATTAATTGTTGGTCATTTGTGCACTCTCTACTTGTAAGCTTTGCTTTTTTTTTTAATTATTTGTAAAAACAAACAAACAATCCTGTTTTATCTTTGATCTAGCGTCTTTCTAAGATGCAAATAAAAATCTTGGATATGATTGTGTCATCAAATCCCAATTTATAGTTTTAATGAGGACTAAAATACTTAGTTCAATCGTACAACCGTTATTTTCTATCAATATCATTAAAATAATTGCAATATAAGAGAATCGCAACCTTTACTGTTTATGTTGCTTGGTGAAAACAATTAAAGTTGGTGCCTTTTTTTCAATTGATAATGAAATGCAATTAGAAAGTCTGTAGCATGCAATCTTACAAACAGTGCAAACCACTCGAAAAGGAAAAATGGGAAAATTGATGGTGCTAAATGTAACAATAGCAGTAATTTACACAATTTCCTCTTTTATTCGCATTCCCTGAACGATTTTGCCTTGCACGGCAACGTAAAGCCATCATTGAGCCTGCATAATAAAGCACGGAGTCTGTAATTAAAGTTTGTCGAAGCCTGGCGAATGCACTGTTGACGACGCCAGCAGCAGCATCACAAAGCATCATCAGAAAATCAATCCCCGCATCACGACACCGCCACAGTGGAAAATAGAATTCAATTAACGCGCTTAAATTAAACTGCCACTTCCGGTATTGATGACGTTTTAATCTGAGCCTGCATTGGGCAGACAAGAGAAAATTTTGCGGTCCGGTCATCCAGTTTTGCCGATCCAACAAGTGACTGTTGCTGACATCAACGGCGTCGTATCGCCTTTTGCTTGACACTTTGGATGCTGACGTTGTTTACTTAAAGCCAGGCTTGGGCTAGCCACGCAATTTTTTAATTTATTGCAACTTAAGTTGGACGGGTCCAATCGTCAGTCTTGACTGTGTGTCGTATCCTTCGTTTATTTCCCTTGATGCGTAGCTTTGTATTTAATTTACATCACACACATATAATATTGGCTGTACCAATACCTTCACCAACTCCGAGAATAGTTCAAATTGAATCGTTAAATAATTTTATTAATGAAATTACATTTCAGTCATAAACTGTTCATTAATAAATTGTTGAAAGCCTTATATATTTACATATTAAGAAATGCATTTATATTGAGCTGCGCCAACACAAAGAGCCCTATCAGTTGCTTTTGTGTACTTTGCGAGTGCCATCAGTTGTCAGTCATTTACTCAGTAGCTGTAGCTGGGGATTTGCTTAACAGGTGGTTAGTACAATTAATTAAATTAGTAAAAGAAAAACTTGGGCTTTAGTCAGTAGCGTGCAACTACCAAGTGTTTAAAGGGACACTTTGGCGTAATTATTCAATGCACATCTTACGAGCTGTCGCTTTTAGACTGTGACCACAGAAGTTCTAAATAGTTAGAGATCTCTTTCTTCTTTCTCCGGCAAGCCGCGCGCTGTCGTTCCAAATTCATTTGAATATTTTAGTATTGCTTTCTTAGTTAGTATTGGGTGTTGTTGGTCTGCATTTTCAAGGAAACTTGCTGGCGCCTGAAAAATTTTGCCTACAAATTTATTTATTGGTACATCGATGCGCTTGCTCAAGGTGAATGGCGAAGCTTTCGTACTGCCAGTCGTCAAACATAGATCACAAGTCTTAGCTTTTATTAATGTCATGTTGCCAAATACCCTATGGCGCAATTTACCTTCCGGTCGGCATTGTTTAAAGGCGAAAGCAATGATTGAATATATCTCTTCGGCGATAGTTGAACGAATGGGAGTGAAAAAACCGCGGCAGATAGGACATTTTTCAGTACGAATGCGGCACTCGAGACAAAGCACATGTCCATTCTGGCACTGCATAACTGGAGGTGTTATAATAGAATTGCACACAGGACATTCTATAGCTTTCAGAATACTGTCTACAATAATGACCAGCCGTTTCAGACTGGTTGGCATGGGTACGCAGCTGATGCTCTGTAAAATACAATAATAAATATGAAATTAGTTTTATGCTGGTGACCACTATTGCAGTTCTTACGTTCTCGTCGCAGTCGAATTCATAGTCGCTATTCCAACACAAAATTGTAACGTGATCTCTTTGGCTTTTAACAATTTGGGAAACTTCGGCTATCCTCATACCAAGAATATCTACACCGTTAACCTGAAAATTACAAATTTCAAAGAAATGTAATACTTTAAAATAAGTTGTACCTACTTAGGATAAGATCCTATAAATGCCGTTATTTTCTGTACCTATAGTATATTTCTCTAGAATCTAAATATTTATTTATTAATTACTAATTACTAATTAAGGGTTGCACATGTGTGACATACAATTTTGATTAATGAAATACTTATAAATCAGTCGTTAGGTTGAACTGCTTCTCGCTGGACTTCGTTGTGTACATATTTACGTAAAGCAGTTGCACTGCTTAATTTCTGTTGAACATGTGTCTCTGTTAACGTACAGTAAACTGTAACGGCTGTTATGTGCACTTTGTGTACATTGAAATTTAATAAACACTAGACTTTTTAGACAAATTTTTGTCTAGATGTCTTGTGTTTAATAATAATAATAAAAATTGTATAATAATAATAATAATAATAATAATAATAATAATAATAATAATAATAATAATAATAATAATAATAATAATAATAATAATAATAATAATAATAATAATAATAATAATAATAATAATAATAATAATAATAATAATAATAATAATAATAATAATAATAATAATAATAATAATAATAATAATAATAATAATAATAATAATAATAATAATAATAATAATAATAATAATAACAATAATAATAATAATAATAATAATAATAATAATAATAACAATAACAATAACAATAATAATAATAATAATGATAATAATAATAATAATAATAATAATAATAATAATAATAATAATAATAATAATAATAATAATAATAATAATAATAATAATAATAATAATAATAATAATAATAATAATAATAATAATAATAATAATAATAATAATAATAATAATAATAATAATAATAATAATAATAATAATAATAATAATAATAATAATAATAATAATAATAATAATAATAATAATAATAATAATAATAATAATAATAATAATAATAATAATAATAATAATAATAATAATAATAATAATGACAATTCAATCATTAGTCGACTAGACAATAAATCCTAACATTAAGCGTAACTGACCTTTAAAATGCAATCACCGGCCTTTAGGCCACGGAGCGAGGCAGGTGTGCCCGCGGCCACCTCACAAACCTGGACCAAGCAAATAAAATTAGTGAATATACTTTAAAAAAAATTTTAAAGAGGGTAATAATTTTATACCCAAGGATATGGGTCCCACTTGCTGCGCGTCAAACAAAATCCATAATCCTCAATCTTAGGTGCGGCACGTGGTATTGTTAAGAGACGCACGGATGACTCTTGATCTTGACGGTACCTTTCGGTATGACTGGCATTAATTGCGTTTTTGCCATTTGCATTTAAGTTGCGCGCTTGCATTAGGCACGTATACTCTATTCAACTCTGTCAGAACTTAGCCGAAAGTTTTAATATTTTGTGTTTTGTATTTTGAACAACACGAGCCGCGGAGCATCGAAATAGATACGTGTTTACCGCGTGCTCATAATAAACATACTGCCTCAGAGTTTTTACTCCAAACGCTCGATTCGCACTCGGCCTTTACTTTGTTTGGCTCTCGGTCTCTCTGTGTAGTCGCTACGCTGGTTAACGCTCGCAGCATCCACAGTTGCTCATCACCGTGTATTTATTTTGGAGATTTTTGTAAAATACCCGTTCATATGAGGTTAAGATCGGCTTAGGGTAATCGTATAGAGCATCCGCAGGCGTGAACTGCCACCATGAAAATTACTGAAGCCATTAGTACAGAAAATATATAAGCTTTTAGCGAGTGCTTGAATAAAAATTAATATAGTCCCCGTAATATTTGCACAGTTGGTTTGAGTTATATCAGGTGCCGGATATTGCTGTTGTGAATGTGATAAAAAATACATAGTTTTATAATACTTTTATAAATGTTACTTTATCAGATATATATTTTAACTCTGCAATATCCATTCTGCTATAAATGGATTACGCGTCTATCCGATCCTGTACGTTTTTTACTTTCTCTGAAGTGGCACAGCCGAGTTAAAGAACGACTTAGATAAAGAACAATTTATTATGAAAACACAGTTTTCTGCCATTGACTTTTAATTAGCTACGCAGTTGAAGTACTTAGTTGGTTCTTTGCGAATCAGGTTATGTTAAACATTAAAATTGCCAATTATCGTACCGCACACGTAGCAAGCTCCCGAAAACGTTAATGTTTTGATTGAAGCTTTTAATTTGTGTTTCATTTAAATTTGTTTAACTCAATAACGAAATTCAGAGCCAAATGGCAGCAGATGTTGCGTACTGCCTGACATTGTTGCTCAGCAACTACCTGTGAAGCTTGTAGCATAAAATTTAATGTTTTCAATTGGCTTGGTCACAACCACAATTGGTTTTTATTAATCAGAAGGCAAACAACTAATTTCAAGTGCGGCTGCCACACAAATGGTAAGTATAAAATTTACATTTTTGAAAGACCTACTGTCATTTGTGTTATCAAATTAGTTAAACATACAAATTCAGTCTCAAGTGGGAATATATTATTTTTTTTTGAAAAATAATCAAATTCATGTTTTTATTTCCTTATGCAGTGCTTACAAAGCTTTACGCAGTAACGACCGTGTAAGCTTTCTGCAGGTGGCGCTTTAAAGTTAAGGTCAGTTTACTTCGGGCCGTCTGTTGTTGCTTAGCGAAGCCACAGTTCACTTTTAGCTCTTTGAGTTTGCGCAGGTGCCGCTTGCAAGTTCCGTTAACGCGAAGTGGGAGTGCGGTACCGGCGCAGATTTAACGTGTGCCGTTAATCACATATATAATATAATCAGTACTACATAATTAAACAAGTTAAAGTAAGTTGCAAGAACTACTATAAAGGGGCTTGAGAGCCACGGACTGTCATTGGGCTCGGTGTAAGCTTTCAGTAATGACTTGTGTGCTTGCTTTGAAAGCGATTCTAGACAGTTGTTTTTTTTTGTAATCATGACTGTTTAATTAGTAAAATTACCTTACCTGTGGCTAGATACAAAGCATTTCTGCAATTTTATTATTTTGGCGTTTTAAGTTGAGAAAAATAAACAAGAATAAATAAAATAAATGAAAATGAAATGTTTAATATTGATGCGCGCCAACGCACCCTGATGTTAGTAACGAAAATGATCAGGAACTAAATGTTATAAGTTTACAAAATCAATGAACGTTGAAAATATATACATATATTGTTCATACATAGGTAATTGCATACATACATGTTATTGCTGCTTACATATGTATTTGTTATTGCTGTTAAAGCTGGCAGCGAATGCGGTGGCGCATGCGCAGCAAGTTTTGACTGTTTGGGGTTTCTGGGTCTCTGCCGAACGTTTCGTTATTTTTGTTTTTGAGTTTTCTGTTGCTGTAACTGTGACGCAATTCTAGTGTGAAGTTGTATGTGATTCGACTTGTTGGCTATTGGCTGAAAACGAAAGCGGCAAAAACCCCTGTTAATTGTACATTTGTACACACATATATATATTTATGTACTTATGTATGCCGCCGATATTGCTTACATTGCAAAAGCGGACAGCTGTTTTAGCGTTCAGCTGTTTGGCAGACTGTCTGGTTTGTTAGTTATTATTTGCGCGCGCCAATGATTAGTTCATTGAAATAGTGAAGTAAAGTATAAAGCTTTACTCTGAATCTCATTAATTTAACATATAGATTACAAATAACGGTAAATGTTGCAATTTTTAATAATTCAACTTATTATTGGAGCACATCGAGTTGGTTTTGAAAACAAATTGTTGTGTTTGCTTTTATACAGTGAAAACAAACTTTGGTGGACAGCGACCGTCAGGCATTTATTGTGCCGTCAAGAAGAGTCCGCCTAATAGAGGCAGATTGAGGAATGCCGACTGAACCTTTAGATTTTGAACTGGTCGTTTAAGTACAATATGTGCAAACCCGACGATTACATAGTCTTTTGAAAATTGCTTTCAATATGCGATTTTATATGAGTGTACCACGCAGAATCTCCATATGTATCGGTAATTACTACTCTATCCCTAGCTCGACCTCTGGATATTCTTTAAATTGCGTCTGTTGCTAAGGGGCTAAAACGATACTTACAAAAATAGTCTCTTTCCGGTTAAAAGGAGGTCCGTCTATGGGCTATATACAGTGATTTTGAGTCCGTTCTGGCTTCCTTTTTCTTGGCATTGAAAACTATTTGTATTTAAATTATGCTAAGACAATTACTCTGCGTTTATAATCATTTAGTTTAAAGCTAAACAACCAAGTTAAATTATTATTGATTTACTATATAAGTCGATGTGATCAGAATCGGCATTATTTGCTTAGCTTTTGTTTTGATACAATTTTGACATTCGCTTTGCCTTTCAACTGCGAGCACTTCACGTTTTCGACGTCACATAAATTTCATGGCCAATGTCGGATAGAAGTGAAGTGAAGTGGGCGCTCGTTTGACTTAAAATAAGTTCATTGTGAGTGTTCAGGTCGTTGCTAGTATGTACGTATCTTTTTAAGTTACACACTTATAGATCCAGTTTTTCTATTGGAAATAAAAAATATTTTCTTGTTAGTTAGTAATAAAGATAATAGTAATATTAAGTACAAAGTGAAAAACATCATGGCTGGGCAAACACGGATGAGTATGACAATGAATAAATAAAAATATAAACTTGTAATACACGAAATCCCACAGGCACACTTTAGAGAACGTAAATGCCTATAAAGAATTCAGTCTGTTTTGTCTTAGTATCCGATCAATATTTAAAAAGGAGGGAGGTTTTGATAAAAACACATAAACTTCTTCTGCATTAACATTCGGAGCCTGATTTAAAGTCTCTAATTCTTAAAGTCTCTGAAATCGCTCGTCTTTCTGACGAATAATTTATTACAAACTGTAATTGTTCAGTTACCATTTTCAGTGGGTACAGGGTATACAAATTGCTTTGCTTGCCATGACAACTATAAAGCATTAGCGGATGCTGCGCACAGCGGCCTTACTGCGCAGCTTGATGTACTTGAACTTGTGTTGCCCGCACTACTCATTCATAAAATTACACGGACTCAGTTTTCGACGCTGCTTATTTGATTCGCACATTTCCGGCTGTGGCTGTGGCCAACTACTGCTAGTGTTTATATGTATATACCTTCGATCTTAATTGATTTAATTCGTTGTCTGGAGTTTTTTGTATAAGTGAATGCAATGCCAAAGTTTTGCCACCCCTTTAGATTTATATGCGTAATTTTATGCTATTTTGCTAGCGATGCCTGTGGCGGTGAACGCGACGTATGGTTAATTATTAACAGTAGGCAAAAGTTTGGTCTAACGTTGGCAACTATGCAACTTTCAACAGCCTGCTAATTAATTGTGTTTCGAAGCTGCTGCCAAGAGGCAAAGAATTGCCAGAAAGGTGCAAACATTATATGCGGCAATATTAAAGTCCAGCGCCCTCTCATAATTAATACTACACGAAAAGAAAAAGCCGTTGAGTTAGGTTTGTAAGCGATTTGTACGTGCGGGACATACAAAACAGGACCTTGAAATGAGGTTTGCTAACCGTCTTTACGCCCACTTAACTATTAACAGGGCTTTCCACTCATTTTTAATTATATATGGATGTGCTAAAGAGTGTCAGATCCAGTGAGCACACGCGTTTGCTTATATAAATTACTTGAAAAACCTTAGATGTTCGCTCTTGAACGGCAAAAAAGTGTAAATATATATGTTTAGAAATCAAACTCACACAATTAAACTCTAGTTCTCTTTAACTTATCTCTTACAGTTCCGTTAATATGCTGCAGCAATGCACTATTAAGGCACCCAATGGTGCCTTGGGTTTGAATTTGAGTCGTGCACCATGGGACCCCTATCCGTGGGTCAGCGGAGTGCAGGATGAGTCAAATGCGCAGCTGGGTGGTGTTTGCATCGGTGATACGCTGCTGCAGCTAAACGGAAGAGATGTGCTAGGTCTGAGGATCAGCGAGCTAGCCACGCGACTACGCGAACACTGGCTTACAGGCGCTGAACATGTGACTATGATGATGTGGCGACAGCAGCCAAGCGGATCGATTTCGACTGGCGAACCGATGGAAACGACGCATGTTGTGGTAAGCCGAAAGCTTGCATGGTTTCAAAATTGTTGTTACATTATTTATATGCGTATGCCATATAATATATGATACTTAATCAAGCAATTCACAGTATATTTTATGCAATAAATATATCATCAGAGGTTACCGTTCCTTTTGCTTTACCTTTGGCAAACAATCAAAGGCGTTCCTGTCAAAAAGTCCATTATGCAAGTAATATATCATACTTAAATATTTCACTCTAAAATTTATGTCGATTTAAAAGTGCAGCATCTTATTACCCCCGAGGTGTTTATCTGACAGTCATATTTCAGTGAATTTTATTAAATTTCACACTTTATATGCAGTACGTCATTTAAAATTCGATTGACCTAAATTTAGCAAGGATGCAAACAACTAAAATATAGTACATGACGCAATGCCTCATGCCTCACTTGTGTACTCTATGACAGTCTGTGTTACGAATCCATATAAATTTCAATCAAGGTAGCCTCCAAATGCTTATGGTTTAACGCTAGGGTAAACGATTTAATGGTTAAATTTACATATATTTGAAGTGTGTAAATTGGAATGTATGCAAGCACTTTACAGTATAAACTATTCAGTTATCAGTCATTAACCTAAAAAACATTTTCTTTTTGCTAGTTTGTATACTAAAAGATATTTTTAAGG